AAACCGCAGAACGCATGCAGTGTCGCAAATCTTTAAACGTGTTTATAAAGGCAGATTTTCGTTCGTTAAAAATAGACTAACGTGCATCACTTAGCACTGTATATTTTCAGGATTTATTATGACACTTGGAATTAAAGATTCACAAAAACTTATGTATTTGCTTAATATAAAGGGCTCTACACACCAACCAAACCCGTCGACAGCTCGGCGCTTAGGCCGAGTTGCACCACCTAACTTTTTAATCGACGTTATAACGATGACTGGTGATTTTTGCATCGAGTTTGACAGATTTTTGACGTTTGTGAAAGTTAAAGTAAGATGGTGCAACCCAGCCTTAGTGTCGGCGGTTTTATTTCAAAAGGATCATGTCAACGACTCATGCTTTATATGACTTTTGACAAGTTTTCAAAAGTCGTTGACTTATGTCATTGACTCGGCGTTTTTGGTGTGTAAACTGTTTAACAATCACCTATTAAGCATCAATTATAGTAATAAATGTATCTTTCTTTTTTTCTTTCAATTTGTAAAGAATTTGTTGTCAGGTACTTTATTTGATAAGTATTCGTTGTTTTTTTTACCGTGATTCATAATCCTCAATAATTTTAATGCCAACATATTTTGAGCACTATGCAAATGAATTAAGGTCCAAAATGAATGATTCATAATCTCTACCTATTGGATAAAGGATTAAGCCGCGTATTTTGGTACTTCTGTATTTTGCCGTCCATTTTCCAGTATTAAATTTGATGAAAGCAAACCAATAGGCATTTACTCGTATTAAAGCGATACAGGCATATATTGTGTGCACAATTGTGGTTTCAATACTAGCTTAATAATAGTGCATGAGTTTTGGGCACAACGTAGTTGGTGAATTTGAATTTACAGCGAAAGGTCAGCAAATGTCACGAAGGATTAATTTCTATTTGTTAGCTACTGGCCCTCAAAAGCATGGAGTCATATTAATTTATTTTTGGCCCATGGGGGCAAACACCACCATAATGAGGGTTTTCGCGATTGAAAAATCTTTTTAATCGCGAAAACCCTCATTGACGTGCAAGCAAATGACGTCACCAACTAGCTATGTAACTCAAATTGATGAACTTTTCTATCACACTTCTTATCATTTAAAAAAAAACTAAAACATTAACCATTTATCTTATGATTAATTATATGTTCTTGTTTCTACAAGAATATGATAATAATATCATAATAAAATTTTCTAAGTTGTCCTTTGCAATTATTGGAATTTTTAATAAACTTATTGATAGATTTTATTCGTCATTTTACAGTCTTCAAAATCTTGAAATAATGCGTTGGTAGTAAGAAGTTAGACTAAATACCTTCTTGTTTATTTTAGTAGGAGGGTAAGTAATCCTTCAGTATTGAGTGGGTGCGACAGGTATCAAGTACTCTCTACAATATTAGAAATAGCGATTCGTAAAATGTTTACTCATAAAAATAGACTAAAAGGTTCTCGGGTTAAACAAAATTGTTTACTTCGTGGAAACAACATGTTTTTTTATTTCAAACTAGCTTTCCGCCCGCGGCTTCAACCGCGTGGAATTTTCTCTGTCACAGAAAAACAAAATCGCGCGCGTATTTGGGCCATTCTTATTCTTACGCATTTTTGTGTGAGATGTAAGAATAGCATATGTTTTTAAAGAAAATCAGTGCAAATTATGCAAGATTAATACATGTTATATAAGACTGTTAAAAATTTATATCAATAATAATTACCATTTTTGATTTTGAACACCAAACATTGTGTGAGCAGTTTTTGTGTCACAACCACGTGCGCCACTTTAAATATGCGTAACTCGGTAAAAAACTATATTTGATATTGACATCCCTTGCTAAGTTTTTTTTAGAACAATAACATTGTCATCTTATTAGATTTGCAAATGGCTGAACGTAGTGAGTGAGCCGCAAAAAAATATTTCCTATTTATTTGAAAAAAGGGACAACCATAACACGTCCATCCCGTGTACGGTTTTTAAAGGTAGGTATCAATGTCACGCTATTGTATAAAACATAATTATGTACCTCATGCAGTATAGTTTCAGATAATTGCACAAGATCTGCTAATTCACAGATAGTTTTTTGGATATATCGGACACGTTCCAAATTGTCACGGCCATGGTATTAAAAATGTGTCACTACCGCAAACTATTTAAGTACATGGTCGTGACATTACAACGCGTGGTTGTGACATTCTATTTTTATTATTTTAATAGTTTTTGTTGTTCTGCTAAATTATTTTGTGTATTGTGCAATTTTTAGGAGTAGCCTTTTAGTAAGTGTACTTATTTTTCGCTAGTATGATTTTCTAGATGCCACGAAGGAAAAATTATTGCACTTTCTCATTTCTGCAGTAATTTCAAATTTTACTGAGACAGCTCCCGGTAAAGGCCCTGCAGAGGTGGTCGGTGTTGTTTTAAAAGGAATATTAACCATATTTACCATATTTTTAGTGGTACGGTGACTATGAAACATGTTTAAGTTGTTAAAACCAACTGTTATGTGAATCCTACAGAAATCTCATTTGATACTCAATTAGGTACGTACTGTGTTTAAGATTTACTAATTTGTTAAGCATATTATCATATCGAAACCATGTAGGTAGCATATCGGAAGCATGATCAGATAGTGCCAATAATAAAAAGTATTTTTTTTTATTATCTAGTAGATATATTAACTACCTGACGGTATTTTTGATCTCAATTTTAATTACATTTTTGGATGTTCAGAAAAAAGTACATATTATATTACCAAATAACACCTTTGTTGATGAAACGAATTTAGTGTATTTTATTGTTAATCAAGATATAAATTTAACAACATAAATATTATTATTTACAGTAAAAATGTAAAACTGTCACATCCGTGTCATGCAGTGTCACAGCCGTGTTTACGTAAGCTATTTTGTTTCCTTTCCGAGGGCTTTAAGGTTGTCCATATACATCAAAAGTATGCTTTTGGTTTATACTTTCGATACACATCGCAAAAAGTTAAAAAAAATAATCTTTAATTTAAAAAAAAAATTGGCACAAATTTAAGAATGGCCCATTTGCTCACCGTTTAGACCTACCCTGGACTATGACAAACATTTTAAAACCAAAATCAGCTCAATCGGCCCAGCCGTTCTCCAGTTTTAATCAGACTAACGAACATCAATTCATTTTTATTTATATAGATAGATTGAGAAATTCTAAGTAAACAAGGTACAAATAACCATAATTATTGCTTATTCGTTATTTAGTTCTTAACTTTGTAATTATTGTACTACATACTTATAACTACAGAAAGGATAATAATATCTTACATAGAGGTAGAAAACACCCAGACCAATAAAATCCGAGAATCGAACCCGCGACGTTTGGTATGTAGTCCTAGTGAACTTCTAATTCAGTAGGTCATGTAATCGTATCAAAATGTCAAACTCGCCGATCCGCCGACATAAGCGGTAGACTTTTGACATGTTGTCAAAAGTCAAGAAAGTACAATTCGTAGACTACAATATTTCTTTTAAAATAAAGCCGCCGACACCAAGGCGCCGGGTTGTCGGCGGGCTTGGTGTGTAGAGTCCTTTAAATATGAATTAACATGAAATTATTACCTCCCGCAGTTGCAAAACTATAACTAGCCTTCTTGATATTGTTCTATAAACAAAGTAACGTAAAATCAATGTAAAGTTGCATATTTGTACTGAAATATTGAACTTTGTGCACCATATTCAACACATGTGCGGAATACTGAGTACTTTAGACACTTGGGAATACCGCATCTCTCATGTATAGCCTTCCTCTGTATTTGTGTTTGTGTTTGTATTTGTCTAGCTATCCCGGCAAATTTCGTACCGCCATTTTTTATTATTATTATCAGGAATAGGTAATGAAGAGTTTTAATGGTGGAAGAATTTTTAAAATCAGTGCAGTAACTTCGGAACCTATTCAATAAAATAAATGGTCAAATCTTTCCTCTATACTATATTAATATTTATACATATGTAATAGTAGTGTAATATAGCGTAGACGCAATAATATAGTGTAGTTAGTAGTGCAGAATATTGATTACTTTAGACACCTGGGAATACTCTATCGCTCATAATATACTATAATAATAAATAATAACTTTACTGACATAAAAACAAGTACAGTATAAAATTGCGAAACCCCTGACTCCTGTGCTAGATGTATGTATGTTACAGGAGCCAGTGCCCACACTTAAATCGGTGAACGGTACTAAATAAAGTTATTTATCACAAATGGTAATTTTGAAAATCAATTTAACTTAACAAACATATTTTTTTTTAAAATAAACTTAACAATAATACATTATAATATACGCCGTATATTATACGGCCTTTCTTCGTATGCATATTTATAAGGGGTACGTAAATACAGCTTCCAATCTGTCTTGATCTATCTGTGCTGTCTGGAGACACAATACTCCTGGGACAGACAGAGGTGACTAGGTACAGTCTAACGCATATTAGACTAAATATTTTTGTTTGCAAAATAGAGCCTATTACCACTGTGTAAGATTCTCTGATTATGACGTATTTTCTGTGTCAACCATGTATATTTAATAAAGTATGTATTATTTAGCAATAATTAGTATCTATAACCAAAGTGTCTAGTCTAGATTTTAAGGTAAACTTTTGCAAGATATGAAAAATAAATGTATTTAACGTATCATATTTATTTTTATAATTACCTAGGCTGTTGCAATATAATAATATACCTACCTATGCAATTTTTGTATCAAGAAATTCCAACTACTATAAATTTTAGATTAAGAAATGGTATTTATACTAATTTTGTGGTAAATTTTAATAAAATCCATCTATACAAATTGATTTTCAATTGAATTCCACAAACTGGATAATTGCTCATGAATCAGAAGTGTGTGTCTACGTATATTTACTTTTATTACCTGAATTCAACTTTATCCAAAGAAATATTACTAAATGGGGTTTCGTAAAATAAATAAACTATTTGTCACATATGGATTATTTATTAAGAACCATTACATACATAATTTTAAACGTTTTTAAACATTTTTGTGCTAATTTTAATGTTTTTCGAAACAAAACGTATCAGAACATTGTTTCACAAACTGTCATGATCTAAACATTTTCTTTTTGATTTAATTACGCCAACTTTTATATAAGATATACAAACATTTATTTCTTACACATAGCTACGAGAATAGTTCAACAATAAATTAAACGAGTTAAAGTAAGTTTGAGCGTGAATACAACTAAAATGTTCATAATTAATAGTTCACCAGTCCACTTGGGGAAAAATAAGTGAAGATATAATTCACAAATTATTATAATATAGTTATCACATTATGTTCAACAAATATATTTCTTATTTTGACTAGAATATGACTAGATACCCAAACCGGGCCACCTGTTGTTTGTAAACATATTGAGAACCAACGTCCGGGTCAGATCCGGAATATCCGTGTAAGGCCGGAGGGATAGAAGAGTAAAACACTTTATACACAAAACATAAAACACTCAGAAAATAGACTGGGTCTTTGGGAGGCACGAAGAGGGGGGATTAGTTGGTTCTTCTTGGAGGCTCAGGGCCAAGCGTATCTCAGGCGGCGGACATCTCGTCGATCCCGCGCAGGAGGCGCGAGCGCAGGCGAATGAACACCGGGTGCTGCGGCGGCATTCCTCGCACGTTCAGGAAGCGCAGCGTTTCCTGAGCGCACACGAGGAAACCCAGCTGCTCCGGGTCCATGTCCTCCGGCACCGAATCCAGCAGAGGGTCTTCGTTCTCGTCCCCGAACATGGACTCCTCGGGCTCGCTCTCCATCAGCGTCGGTTCCTCGTCGCGGGTGGAGTCCACATCCACCGAGCACAATCTCCCAAAAAGACGTTTCAGCGCCTGACGCTTCTCAGCGCTGTCGGTGTCGATAGCTGGCTCGCTGTGGGACCGCTTGCGGCGTCGCTGCCGCTTGGCGCGGCGGTCGGTGATGTCGCGCTCGCACTTCCTTTTGCTCGTCATTATTGCGTCGCCGGCGGGATACTGACTGCGAATGGGCCGTGCAGGAAATTGAAGGGCCTCGGCGCTTACAGCGAGGGCGCCGTCTCGCTCTGGCGCGGGGTGCGCGCGTGCGTGCGAGGGAGACGGGGCCGCCAGCTGCACCGGCCAGCTGGGCGGACAGATGCAGGGCGCGGGGCGCTTTGTTTGATAAAGTTTATTCGGGGAAATAAAACTGTTATCCCGGATTGCGCGGCGCGGAGCTAGCGGCCCGGCCGGCAGCTGCGACGCATCTGCCGCGCTCAGGTGATTCCACATGCTCCCAAGGTGCCGACGTCGGCAATTAAGGCGTTTACTGACGCACGTAAACAAAGCACAGCCTAAGATCACGGGTGTAACGATATAAATCCTTTGTCAGTTCAAAGGTTTAATAGATTTTGGATTGAATGATTAATAACTTTGAGTTCAATTTAATTTGAACGTCTCATTGTTTAACTTAGCTACGAAGTCTAAGTAGTCGTATTTTTCATAAAAACGAAATAAGCCTTCAATTAGAATATAAGAAGACAAAGAAACCGTATAAAAGCTGTAAAGCTCATCTTAATTTCCCAGGTAACGGATTTATGCTTCATTCAATTTGCGAAATGCTGAAAGTAGCCTGCGGCTGAAAATTGTTCAGCTCGGATTGTATCCGGACAGCAAACTATGTGCCGATAGCTCACTATGTAAAATGTAAAAATCAATACTCAGTTTATGTAGTCCCGGAAACGAGCTGGCAGTACATAGCGGCCTAGGTCTCCCGTTTTAAATTCAATCTGAGCTTTTATATGTATAAACCATGTTTGTTTTTTCGGAAATAGAAACACTGTTTGAAAAATTATAGTAAAAGACCCAATACATTTTGTAGTTATTATCACATGGGATATTAAGATGAAGCAAGAGGTTCCTCTATTGTTTGTTAAGTGCCTGTGTAACTACGATCTAGGCGCGTCCTTTGTAACGGGTAAAAATAACTCCCAGTTAAAGCCTACGTAATTAACACTACAATAAGATACTGTATCAAACTCCTACTTTTAATATATATATTTTTTACTTTATGTAATGTGTAATGTAATATCACATGATCATTATCATCATCATCATTTAAAAGCCATAGGACGTCCTGCTGAAATTAGGCCTCTTCCAATGATTTCTATATTGACCGGCCTGCATCCATATCCATATCATCCTGTTACCTGGAATCACATGACATAACTAACTAAAATATTTAGTTTTACTATAACGTGCTATAATATTACCTAAAGAACCTTAGCTACATCTAACTGGGTATTATGAACATCACACGGCGCATCAACTGTTAAAATCGTGTACTAATAATAGCTCTTATTCCCTACCAGATAAGGGTCTCAAGATAGCTCTATGTGCTGTTGTGCTCAGTATAGCAATGAAATTTCCAATAATCCGCTTCAAACTTGCCTTGTAAAGCTCTCGTCTTGGAATAAAGACGAATTTCCAGGTTACATTTGAGCAGTATGTTTCTGAGAATTGCCTAATGAACGCGTCTCTTCCTATAAGACGATTATACAAGTTATTGTCATAAAAAATGGTAATTGTTACAGTATTTCTTTGAAATAAGTCTATTATTGTTACAGAAAACAGAATAAAAGGGAATAACAAGCTTTTCCTCTTTCCTCTTTCTTTTTGTTAACAATTAAACCCCACTAACATTCATTATTTGTGGTAGTAACTTTTCACATTTAAATTAATGATACAATAATATCTAATATCACTTTTTTAGGGTTCCGTAGTCCTGACAAAGAAACCCTTATTATTTATTTTCACCCGAAGCTGTAGTTTAGTAGGGTTTCAAAACCAATTAAATGCATTTAAATATTTAACGCTTATTTATTTACACTAAACAAGCGTTCTAATGTTGTCATTAATTGAAATGTAAATAATAAGTATTATCTAAATATTAATAGGAATATTTTTCACTTATTCATTCAGAATTATTCAAAAGTTACGAATTAAGTCAAAATTTTACTTACATCATTTCGTTATCTCACATAAAATATTAATCTAACCTTACGCAAAGCCTGGCGAGAGCTCAATTTAAATCGACGTAAATGGCAACCCAGTGGCTTCACTGTATGTCTAGGCTCTACTAGGGCATTAGAGACACTTATGAAAGTCATAAGAGTCATTTATTATCTGCAAATAGGCTTTTTGTAAAGCGCTTTAAAAGCATTCCTGATGTGGACATGACAATTAGTCGTTGTTAGGTCCATTCAGTAAACAGTAAAATGCAAATGAGCCTTTGTAATACGAAATTAAAATAAACGAAGTGTGGACGGTAAGTATGTCAAAGGAATCATACTAAACATGCCAATTGCTTCTAGTGCAGTAAGTTGAATAAATTCAGCCTCAGATATTCTTAGTTTAAATAGAAAGAAAGAAAGAAAAATATCAAAGATAATAATAATAATCGCTAAAGTTGTGTTAGACTTTTGCATGTAACCACAAAGAAAGTCTGACACCTAACTTCAGTAATACTGAAATGAAAAATACGTAAAGAGGTGAATCACGATGCGATCCTTTTACTCTTTGACAGTTTTGAAAGCTCCGCTACTCTACAGAAGTATTTTAAACTTAATTTAAAGCTCTTCAAGAATAAGCTTCCATCAGTGACTAAATTAGCTCTCTAATATGACCTACGATCCCCTGGACGGATTTCAATTACGTAGGCTTTACATTGACTGGCTCATCGGTGGTTCGGATAGATAAGGAGATAGGTAGCCCTACTAGTGCTGCGTGTAGTCGATACTTACTACACTATGAAATAATCCTAGCGCTCTGGCTTTGAGATTACTAGGTCGGTTTGTTTACGGTTTGGAGTTAGACTGTCGGAGAAATAAAGAGCATTATTTCATATAAGATTCATACTCTCTTTTTAATTTCCATGTACGTAATACAGGCACTTTTTTGTCATAAGTAGGTATCATAACGAAAAATCTTGTTTTTTTTTCTACTTGAAACAAAGTATAACCTACCTGTACCTTTATTGTGAACGTAAGTACGCAGGTACTTAGTTACTTAAAAACCTATAGCATATCGAAACGACATCAATATTCAAGCGAAACCAATCTCAGCACATCCTTACTACTGGATAATACACGACAGAGGTGTTCAATGTCCATAAGGCTTTTCACGGCGGAAGGACAGCCTTTGGCTAGCTGCCAGTTTGGAAATTTCGATTTTCTCGATGGCGGCAAACATAATAAGCTTTTGAAAAGCTTCTTTCAAAGGTGCCGTGTAAAGAACTTTGCTTGCCAGCAAAGTAATATGTGACTGTGAAAAGATATCAATGTCCACAACACTAGGTGGTACTATTAAATTGACAACCTAAAAAACTTACTCCAAAGTATGTTTATTTATTTATTTATTTAAGGACAACCAACAAAACATACACCATACATTCACAGTTTCCTTAAAAATAAATTAAGCTAAGGAAGCAAAACTAAAATGTAAATTCCATAATAATATTACCCTTTTTATTTCAGTCCCCGACCACAAAGCTCGCACTGAAAACTGAAAATAGACGACATTCCTGTTGCCAGAGGATACCACGGACATTTAGAGGAAAAACATGAGTATTTGTGCTTTAGTTATGGAAAAGTAAAATGCTATTACAACATAGGAGGTAATACACATCACTGCGTAATTTTTTTCCATATCGCTTCTTCTCAGCACTGGCCTATTTATTGTCCCGAAGCAGTGGTATGGATAATACTGGGACGTGTAAAAGTGCTTTTTAAAAGCCTATTTCCAAAAATAAATGAGTTTTATGACTTTTAGTTTTATGTATAAACATTTTTAAAGTGAATAGTCGATATAGATTACCGAGTGGAATGCGACGATGATAAAGGCATTCATGATACATTTTGAACCGTTTAACTAATCGAATTCAAATCGTACAGTTACTTTGCTCTCCAGACAAATCTAAGCGAAGAATTTTACCTCTGCCTGCGCTATGTTGTCCCATACTTACGCCCGTATTCACGAACATTACTATGAGGTCTCACAGTGCGCGTGAATGCTCAGGGTGACATATGAACCAATCACAGAGCTCTATTTAACGTTATGCATTCGATTTGCTGCTTTACTTAAGCAAGCATCGTTTGTGAATACGGGCGTTAGATGCAAGGTAAGCATGCAAGTCAGAAGTGACAAGTTTATGCCAGCAATGTGTCGTTATCGGATCGATGTTGAACCTACACGTTTTGCTTCCAGGTTTCTGGAATGCAGCCTTTCGCTCTAAGTCATGCGCAGAATATCCTGTCTGCAGATCGCAATGGAATTTTCTTGGAAATGGAAATTCTGGAATTTCCAGATTGTTGAAACTAGCCGTAAACATATTCGAAGGACAAGAATGCAAATTAAACATACTTACGAGTATAAAGTGGGTTATGATAATTAGTGACTCTTAAAGGGGATAACATCAAAAATAAATTAAGTATTCATGAAGAAAAGTTGTAACAATATGTAATAACTTAAACACTTGTAACCACTACTGTATGTACCTATGTAAACCCATGAAAATATGATTTGATTTGTTTTGAAAAGTTTTTTTAATTCTTCGTCCGTTCGTTTCAGCCAAATGACGTCCACTGCTGGAAAAAGGCCTCCCCCAAGGATTTCCATAAATTTTTGAATTCTTACTTTTGTGTATGCAAGAGCTCTTATAAATACTTTTTTAATGAAGTTCTCAGAATTCTCAACTCAACATTCATTTCAAAGGAATTTCAACGTTTCGACATTAATAAGAGATCCAATAAGTAAATCTTCGTTATTTCACTTCGCTTTTGAACTAGAGGCCATACAAACGCAATTTGATTGGTAAGATTATGAGACGTCTGGAGTCGTAGTCATTAGGATTCATTACTTTAGAGGGAAGATAATATGTTATAGAGATGTCAAATAATATACAAGAGAAAGCTTAACAGACTATACATATATTTTTGATAATTGACACCATACACCTATTCTAACTACAATAAACACCCGTCAAAAAATTCAATTTCAGTCTATTTCTTTTAATATTATTTTTAGAAAATAGCTCGTAATTGAGCTTACAAGTTTAAACGCCACTTTGACTTGGTATGCTTGTTGTTATGTTTGTTGTATGCTTGCGTAAAATAAAACAACAAACATACAAATTTAATAAGTATTAACATTAATGAATTTTAATTATGTAAATTATTTTTTTGTCATAATTC